CACGGACATGACTAACAGGCATCCAACAGCAGAATCCCTTCCCCAGCCACATACATTCCTTCATGCAGTTGTAGTGAGTGGAGAAGAAAGCCCTTCTGTTCTGGTATGAAAGAAATATATGATTAATTCCAAAGTTTTGCTACAGGACAGAAAAACATCCCTAGTGTTGGATGTACCAAAGTTCCATTTTGTCTCCCATACGGGCCTTACTCTTGGCTTCCCTCCAAGAACTAGCTCCAAAGAGCTCATACCAGGCAGTTTACTGAGAAAACATTTTCTTAAAGACCTCCTTTGTCCCTCCTAGTAACAATGGGGTTCATGGCTTAGGGTGGGCGGAGGTACCTCAGGGCATTTAATAGCCATAAGTGTGGGCATACGTGCATGTTCCTTCAGCCCTCAAAAATAACACAAACATATCTGTATGAAAAGTTTGGATACCCCTGGTCTAGGGCCTTAATGGTCTTGGTGGGTAGGAAAGAGTTGGGCAGGAAGCCCCATGGTGCATTTTCAACATTGTGCTCATGGCTTCCCCTGCCCTACTTGTCTTGGTGTGGACAACATGGAACTCACATGAAAAAAAAATCACATTTGGGACCTGTCCCAAGCTGCTAGTTGTGTTACAGGGGTTTCTGAAGTAGGTAATGTGGCAGAGGGATCCTGCCCTGGTTCTATGTGATTTTTATTCCCTATAGAAGGCTGGCATGGAAGGATTCAGGGCCTCTCCCACATTCCATTTTGTTCTTCTCCCGTGCTCTGGGTGTCTTTGCAGGGGGAAGGAAGGGTTGGATCTGAGAACGATATCTCTTTGGCTTCTATCACTTTAATCTAAGAATTAAATTAGGAATGGAAGAATTGTTCAACAATAATGGTGAGAGGGAGAGATGACAACAGAGAGCACTTGTTCCCTTTACTCACACTGGACACTGATATTTCATCCACCCATCCTTGATGCCTTAACTGGGTTGGAAGGCTAGAAGGGAGTGATTACACCTTGCAGTTTGTTCCATGACACAGTTTTTATGGGCATAATTTTGAAATATTCTATTATCTTTGCTCACTGACTGGAAATAACAGCAGAAACAGGTTGTCAGTCAAATAGTACAATACCAGTGGGCTGGAAGTTCCTTATCCCTGCCACAGAAGATTCCCTCACCCTCAGATTGGTGCTGTTCCTGTACAGAACTAGAGATGGTACAAACCATGGTTCAGCAATTCGCCCCTGTGCCCTCACATGTATTCTGTGGGTGGCACATGCTTCCCTCCTCTCCTCTCTGTGCAATCGTCCACTCAATGGCAGCACAACAGGCTTCCTTGTTCCATCTCTTCGTCTGAGTGGATGATCACATGGAGAAGGCAGAGGAGGGAAGCACACTGCTGCCAGTGAGTGGGCAATTGTTTAGAGGAGGTGGAGGAAGGAAGTGTGTGGGACCGGCAGAACACCTGTGCGGATGCCACACTGAACTGTAGTTCATGCCCATCTCTCTACATAACAATATGAACTGTAGCTGTCAGCCATGTTCCTGCATTTTTTCCCAACTTTAATGTACTTCTGCTAAAGTTTTGCCACAAGGAAACAGCACCAAAAAGAGGATGGAAGAAGCTACCATATATGTGCAGCATATATTGGGAGGGTAGAAATTAAATAAATACATTAAATAGTTTCACCTGGATATCTTAGTTTTATAACAATGGCTTCCCAGCTTCATAAACAGGTTAGCTCCTACCTTGCACATATGGGCAACAGGGAACAACAAGCTAAACCTGAGGCAGTACAGGTTGGCAGGACCTAGACATAGTGGATAAATCTTGTCACTTAGTGTAATCAGCTACACTACAGCAGGCCTATTGAATCAATGGAGATTTGGTGAGTCAGTTCCTTTGTAGGTTCCAGTGATTCAGATGGGCCTACTCTAGTTGCACCTGACTAAATCACAACTAGAGTAGGCCCACTGAAGCAATGGAAGTCACAGAGGAGTTGACCTTCACTGATTCAGTGGGTCTATCTAGTGTGACTTACTGTGCTAAGCAGCAGGATTTCAACCAATGGATAAAAACCTACAATCTCCTCTCATCCCAAAAATACATGCCCAACATATGTGGTACACCAGAACACACTGATATAATATACACTGGCATAATACATAATTTGTGTAATATATGCATATAATTCTTTCATACGTAGAAAACTAAGAAAATATTTATAGTTCTCCATTGTCTTTCTCTGAAAATATTCAGAAAATATTGACTTTGACTAAGAGATGAATATTTTAACCAGAACATATGCTCAGCTTTTTAGTTTGTTTGCAGCACCTAGTTTTCTTGTAGAAAGGCTTAGTTCATAAACATATTGGTTTGTTATTTGCAGTTTTGAAAGACCAGCTTTCATGAGATATTTTACATAAAGAACATCAGACAGATGGAATTTGATAATTGGAATGCTGCCCTTCCTGCAGTACACAATGCCCAATTCAAAACATCCAAGCATGTTAATAACATTTCCAAGTGATTTAACCACCAAGTGTGTTCTGCGATGCAAATGCTGTTTTGAAGAATGTTTATGGTTTTTCGTCTGTTCTTAAAAGCAAGCCTCCTGCATGGCAAAAGAAAACACTATTTTTGCTTCAGTTTTTCTGACGTCTAAGAGAGACTGTCTCATGAGTGCTTATTACCTATACACCAGAATCACAGAATCGCCGTAGGGTTAGAAGGGATGTTGGAGATCTTCTAGTCCAACCCCCTGCCCAAAGTAGGAGACCTCATACCATCCCAGACAGATTGCTGTCCAATCTTTTCTTGAAAACCTCCAATGATGGGGCACCCACAACATTGGGAGGCAAGCTATTCCATTGCTTAATGGTTCTCACCATCAGGAAATTCCTCCTTATTTCCAGATTGGATCTCTCTCTGATGAGTTTCCACCCATTGGTTCTTTCCTACTCTCAGATGCAATGGAGAATAAATCGATGCCCTCTTCCCTGTGGCAACCTAAAGATATTGGAAGACTGCTATCATGTCTCCCCTCAATCTTCTTTTTGTTAACCTAAACAGACCTAGTTCTTTTAGTCGATCTTAGTCTCAAGTCCCCTTACCATATTTGTTGCTCTTCTCTGCACCCCTTCCAGGCCTCAACATCTTTTTTGTATTGTGATGACCAGAACTGGACACAGCACTCAAAGTGTGGCCTCACCAGCATGGTATAGAGTGATACTATCACTTCCCGTGACCTTGATGCTATCCCCCTGTTGATGCAGCCTAGGACTGTATTGGCTTTTTTGGCAGCTGCAGCACACTGCTGACTCATCCTTAGGTGGTGGTCCACCAGGACACCTAAATTCATTTCACAGGTCCTACTGTCGAGCCAGGTGCCACCTATCCTGTACCTGCGCATCTGGTTTCTCCTGCCTAAGTGCAGGACCTTACTTTTCCCACCCCTGAACTGCATCTTATTGGGCAGGGCCCAATGTCCAAGTCTGTCTAGATCCTTCTGAATGTTGAGTCTATCTTCCAAAGTATTAGCAATTCCTCCCTGCAAATCTGATGAGAGCTCCTTCAATCCCCTCCAGGTCATTTGTGAAGATGTTGAAGAGCACCGGGCCCAACCTTGAGGGACACCTGTAACAGTCTAGATATTTCCTGAACTTCAGCTCCTCTCTATTGGCTATGCTGACTAATCCTGATGTGAATCTCAGTCCAGCAATATTTACAGGGCCAGAGTTGCTGTCCACTCCTGCTACAGACATTCCATGTCAACTAAACGTTAAATTTGAATAGTATTTCAAACTGAAAGAACATTCAGGGGCCTAAAACATTAGCTCACACGCCATGTATATATCAGAATGTAGGCAAATGGATCCTCGCATCTCACTACTTTTTCCTATGAATGAAGAACAGGATTTGGCAGAGACCGCTACTTAAAATGTAGAACCAAATCAGCTAACAATAATACTGTGAGCGAGCACTAACTTCCCCATCATTCTACCTCCTGTGAACAGCAAGACAGTTTTTTTACTTTCTTTCTTTTTTGTGTATCTCCATGAGATACATGATCCCCTGACATTCCACACCCTCCTGACTAGAAGTAGCTATGAGAATAGGCAATGTGGATTGGGCCCACTTTTTCCTTTTTCCCAACATCAGTTCTGTTTTGGCCTCAAATAACTTTTGCCAAAGTATACATAGAAGGTTGTTGTGGGTTTTCCGGGCTTCTTGGCCGTGTTCTGAAAGTGGTTTTTCCTAATCCTGGCTATGAATGCCTTCACGAATACATTATACATAGAAGGACAGAATGATAGCAGAGGCTCTGTTGTTATTCTTAGTAAAAGAGATAAGTAGTACTGTACAAGGAACATTGTAGGAACATTGTCTGTATTTTAACTCAGTTTTGAAGTACTCATGAGTGATGACATGGGAAGTGACATCATGAAGGCCCAAGGGCCCACAGTTTCCCTTCCTTACTAGAAGGCAATTTCTCCACTAAGATTGTGCAAGCTGCTATTCTGACTTGCTGCTTCAAAATAGAATTTACTTACTTCACTACAGCAAAAGCATTCTTTTAACCTTAACTGGATGTCAGTTTCTGCAGCCAAACCTATGGATTAGGGGTCATATGGCACAGTATCAGCTAGGTCAAATTATACAAAGCATTGGGTAAGTTTCTTTGAAATTTAGCCTTGCTGTTGCACTGGACGGCAGGATGTAAAGGCAGAAAGAGTTAGTATTAATGAGTAATGATGAAACCTAATTCAAAAAAGAGGGCTTGGTGAAAATAAGTAGGCTTGTTATGGCCACATTGATAAAGCTGTCAAAATATATTGCAAGCATCTAATAAGTCTATATCGCATTATGCAAAGTCATTACATAATTAATGTCACCCACTAAAGCTTTCATCAGTATCAAGTCCAAAAAATCCAGACAAGTGAATTCCCATTAACTGAAGGCAAAAATCAAAGAAACCCAGACAGCAAACCTGGCAATACTAAAAGATAAAAATTACTACTTACCAGCCCAGCTATCGGTGTTGACAGACGATTGATCTTTTTAATGATCCCAGGTTTGATCTTGTTAATTAGACTATAAGAGAATGAAAGTTAACCAGGTTTCATAATGCACTTTCACTATAGGGCTAAACTTAGAAATAAAAATTAATTACGTATTACCTACTTTTTCATAAAAATTATTTGAAGAAATTGAACAGACTTAAAACAAATAGCTTCAATTGTTCTATTGATTATAAATACACTCAACAAGACAAAAATGTGAAAAAATAAATCTTTGGAAAAATAAGTGAAAAGAAATACAATATGTAATACAAGATAAAAATTTGTGTCATTAAGTTGCACATGTATACATGACTTCCGGCTTGACGTCGCGACGAGACAGCAGCAGGAAGACAGAGCTCTGTCCCCTGGGCTGAATTCTGACCCGTTTTGGGACACCGTAGGGTGTCGGAACCACCCTGGAGGGGTGGTGAACTGGGGGAGAAAGCCTGTTGATCACGGGGGGCGGTGGCCACCCCGGTTCGATCCAGGAAACTCCCTAATCAGCCAATGGGCAGAAATAAGCAGCTTCGGCTAGCTTCCAAGTCGCTGGCAGCCGTCTGAGAGAAGCAAGGAA